AATTAAATCAATAAAATTAATAATTAATATAGAACCTTTCATAAAACAATAGACCACCTCATGTGAATTTTCCACTTCATCTTTTGTGAAAGCATTTAAAAATTTAGAACTGAATAAGGGAACAGTAATGAGTTTTCTGTCACTCTTGCAGCTCTGTTGTTGCTTGCAACAGAACTTCTATCTCCAGTCTCGTACCTAAGAAATTTAGCAATCTCTAACATTGTTTTGTTTCTAAAAATAATTTTTGAATAATTTGATTTGATACAAGTTTTATCATATTTTCTAGGTTATAATCATAAAATAAAATATTATATATTAAATTCTTGCCTAACATGAAGCATATTTTGCAGCATTTTCAATACCTCTAAACTAAAGTGTGGTTTCTTAATTTCAATATTGGTAAAACAAACCAAACATTTATTTCTTTCATATTTTTTTAGCTTAGTTTTCACTTAATTGTCATTTTGACTAGACATGTTTTAGAGTAGAAGATACAACTCTTTCTGAAAAAACTCTTTATATAAATGCTGGTGTAGACAAAATAACGTATACAACAGTATTAGTAATAAATATATTGATTATTTTTATAGGATATCATAACAACAGTCATACTGCAATGTATAGTACCAATATACTAACATATGTAAGTTGTAAGTAGTATATGAATCTTAATAAACAAAATAAACAACATATGTGATATGCTTGATAACTTATTATTATCACTCAAATTATAGTATGCTTTCTTTGTATTTAAAATGAATGTTTACTTATATATAAGGTATTTAAATTCGTTTTATTTTTTGTTGCTGCTATTTTTACGAAAAAAGTCATAAAAAGGAAAAAATATTTTTTTTAAAAATCCCCTTTAAATTGATTTAACTTTAATAGATTTGAGTTGAGAAAAGTAACACCTTTCAGACCTACTATGTGAAAAAATTAGGTACAAAAAAAATTTTTGATCATGCTCAGGCCCACTGTGCATAATTGGAAGAGCCTCTTAGTTGGAACACTTGTATTTTTATTTTAGAAAAAAAATTAATTATAGCTATATTTTGCATTTTTCTAGTAAAACGTCCTACTTTCTACGTTATTACCCAGCTAGCACACTTACATTGTATGTAAAACTATCGTAAACGTCGGCTCTTTTTTCCAATCCAAAACCAACGTTGATCCAATGTCGTTTGGTTAATAATAAAATTATTACCGACGGAACTAAGAACATCTGACAAATTTACATTGGTCTAAAGTATGTAAAAACATCTCAAAAAGTTGATTGTTTTTACGATCTAAACCCAATGTTGATCCAGTGTATATATTTCGACGTTGATTCAATGTATATAAATCAACGTTTTTCCAATGTATGTAAAAACATCAAAAATAATTGATTCTTTTTGCGATCTAAAACCAACGCTGATCCAATGTATATACTCGATATTGATTCAATGTATATAGATAAACGTTTTTCTAATGTATGTAAAAACATTGCAAAATGTTGATTATTTTACGATCTAAACCCAACGTTGATCTAATGTATATATTTCGACGTTGATTCAATGTATATAAATCAACGTTGATTCACTGTATGTAAATACATCGCAAAAAGTTGATTGTTTTTACGAACTAAACCCAACGTTGATGCGACCAAACAGTGCTATTGCGAAATTATATAACTTAAATAAAATCTTCCGTGATGATTAAAACATCAAGCCACAAACAACACAAACATGATTTTTATTTTGATGATCAATCATTTCCAACTTTATAAATATACCCTCTTATTATATTCCCTCTTTATGCCTTTTTCATAACTAATGGTTTTTCCCCGTCCTCGCTTGGGACGTTAAATATAGAAAGGTCCTTTAGTGGCCCATACTTAAACATATATATATATATATATATATATATATATATATATATATATATATATATATATATATATATATATATATATATATATATACATATATATATATATATATATAAATATATATATATATATATATATATATATATACATATATATATATATATATATATATATATATATATATATATATATATATATATATATATATATATATATATATATATATATATATATATATATATATATATATATATATATATATAAAGAAAATAGAATTTAATGAAAATATATTTCCGAATAATATTGAATACAAAGTTTTGCCAATTAAAGTTCAACGTTGAATCAACGTAAATACTACGTTGTGCCCACGTATAAAATAAAACGTTTTATCAACTTAGAAAATATAACCATTTTCCGACTTTAAAAAAACGTTTTATCAACATTGGTTTTTAGTTGTTGGCGACGTTGCATTTTTAACCATAATGATATAAAAACAACGTTGGCAGTCGATGTTGGGCCAACGAAACGCGCGACATTGTTCTAATGTTTTAACGATGTATGTGTGCTAGCTGGGTACAGATTTTGAAAATTATCTCTCAAAAGTTCTTGTACTCCGTTGATTTAAAACCTTTTTGGTATGCAATAGGATTTAAAATGCAAATAACAGTATAAACTTATCTTAATGTTGCTACAAACATATTATGGCAGTGATGTAACAAAATAGTTTAAAGTTTCCTTGATTGGAACTATAATGTTTTCTTTAATTAATCAGTAATAAAACTAAAGTGTTGTACAAATAGTTCAAGCGCAATTTAAAAATACTTATTAACAACCATAAACCTGAAAAATAATACTTTATTTAGTGATTTTTAATTAATAAATTTAGAGAACGTCATAACAGTTGAAGCTTTTATATAACTTTTTTTTTGTAGAATTTAAATTTGCCACAGTAATATTAATCATATTATAAGTTTTAAATGAGCTTTTTAAATTTTCACTTGAAAGATAAAAATCAATTTTAATTGATTTTTTTTATTCTACTGTTTTTTTTTTTAAAGAAACAACCTGTTTTGATTAAGGAATGAAAGTGTTCCAATTTAGGGAACTAGTTGTCTTGATTGGAACATGGTATCTTTGCAAAAACAAATTTATTGCCAATATTAGTGCTTATGTAAATATATATATATATATATATATATATATATATATTATATATATATATATATATATATATATATATATATATATATATATATATATATATATATATATATATATATATATATATATATATATATCTGTGAGTAAATGTTTGTTTGTTTTTTTGCCGTTTTTAACTTTTAAACTAATGTTTATTAAAAGTTTAAACATTAGTTTATAAAAAGTTTTAACTTTTAAACTAATGTTTATTATTTTCTTGCCTTTAAAATAAGTTTAAAATACTATAATTTAAAGCAAAACAATATTAAAAATCAAACAACTCAACAAAGTTTTAAGTAAAAAAAAAAAAAGTTTTAAGTTTTAGCGTTTTAAGTACCAAATTTTAGATAGGTTAAAAAAACGAGGCTAAAATTTGAGTTTTCTTTATTTAAAATAAATAAAATTAGCAATTCTTATCAAATTTTATACAACTTTCTTATCAAAAGAAAGGTCTAAGTTTATATAAAAGGATAAAAGACTAAGTGTATATAAAAGGCGTTTTGGGGCGTTAGAGGAGCGTCTGGAACTTTCTGAAATATATTTAAAATCTAGTTTCAAAATATTTTTAAATTAAGTTTTAACTTTTTAATAAAATTTTGAATTTTTTTTTTTTTTTAAATATATTATATCAGGTCATCATAAAATATGATTAAGATACCCTGGATCGGGTGTGCGGAAGTGTATTTGACATCGGGTGGCAATAGTTTCTCTCCCCCCTCCTCCTATGATTGTTTTTCTGCTTCTTTACTACATCTTTTGCCATCCTTTACACCACCAAAAGTTGTATTTTTAAAATTAGGCAAGTCTCGCTTCCATTTTGGGCCCATTTACGAAAGACCTGTTTTGATTTAGACACAGGTTAGCATTAACACTAAACTATATTATCACTCCTTGACATGCTTATAATTTATATAAAGCATATCTAAATAAAATAATCAATAAACGAATTTGAAAAAAAATTGAAACAAAAACTTAATTTGAAGGTCTTTACAAAAATTGTTTGATTGTTGACACCCGATGGCGTCAGAGGAAAAGTTGAATCTGTAAAAATGTAATAACTTTCGTAAAATTAGAAAAATGTTATAATACTAACCGCTCTACCGGTTATATACTAACCGCTCTATAATCAACTTTTTAAAAACATACTAGTAACTAATAAATACCACAACTAACTTTTTGTGCAGTAGCTATATTAAAACGATTATTAGGTTTATTAACAGTTTATCATTTTAATCAACTTGATAAAATAATAAAGTTTCTACAAAGCGTTTTTTTTTTTTCTTTAAGATCTCAAGCAAACGCTATTAATATGAACACCTTCTTGTATTTCAGCTTCAAATCTTATTATAAGATAATTTTTTTCAATAACCCAATCTGGTGAATTCAGTTCTGATATAATGATTAGTTCATGAGCATTTTGCTTAGCAGTTCTGTGATGGAGAATATTAGTAAAATGGCACCTGTATATTGCCCTATTTTCCATACTAGCAATGGAACGTAACCTATTAGGGCATTTTACAACAACATGTTACAAATTATTGTTTTCATATGTAGTGAACATTTATTTTTATCATGAAATTTTCAAATTTGTAATCTAATACTCCAATAAATCATAAACATCATTTTTTTAAGCAAAAATTCACTGTTATTTGCCTTGATATCAGAACTACATTTGATTTTTATTTACCATACCATTTACATATCATTCATCTTCGATGTCTATTTTTGCAGCTTTCAAGTTACAAAGACGCTCACTATAATACTTTATTTGACTTTTTTTCTTCAGGTTTCTGAAGAAAAAAATCTGAAACAATTTTTTGCTTAAAACTTTTATAATTTTTTTTTTGTTTATAACTTTTCTTTTAAACCCTTTTAGCATGCTGTTTAACTTAGTCTTCACTATTGTTATCTAACTCCATTGTTTTCTTGTTAGGTAGCTAACTGAGAAGACAAACAAGATAATCAACATTATCAAAATTTTTTACCTTAATCAGTTTTTCTCTTTAAATATGTTTATCTAAAGCCTTCGTGCCATAAACGGTGAATGTCAAAGGTTCACTAGTTAACAAAGTTAAAGCATTTATATGGTTAGAAGACGAGACTACGAAAGATTATACAAAAGTGTATTTGAACTACTTGACAGCTTGTAATAAATGAGCAGTTAAAGGCGAGGAATAAGCATTAGCAAAAGGTGAGGAATAAGCATTATTACAAAACTCAATTAAATGTTTTCAAACCTTGAAACCTTTTTTGCTTAAGTTTGTGATCATTTTACAAAATGAATTACATGAGTTTTTCTATATTGCTCTGCAACATGTTGAGTAGTTTTTTGAAATTACTTACCATTGCAATGCATTGCTTGTAAATATAAAAAGTATAAACAACAGCATTAGAAGTACAACTTATAGTGCTGTCCGTTTTTCAATCAATCTTCATTTGTGGAAACATATATATATATATATATATATATATATATATATATATATATATATATATATATATATATATATATATATATATATATATATATATATATATATGTATATATATATATATATATATATATATATATATATATATATATATATATATATATATCTGTGTGTGTACATTTTTTTTTCTTTTGTCGTGTAAATATATACATTCCGTAGGTTACTAATAAGATATATAGGTAGCAGGGGCGAGAAGAAGACTAATATGTCCAATCGCTAAGCCCCTTATTAAGTCTGTAAATATAAAGTTTATTTTAAAAATCAAAAATTCCGTTAACTATTTAATATAACCAAATGTAAAAGTGGTAAATCAATAATAATATGTTAATATTATTGTTAAAAAGTAGCAAGTAGCTAATAGCTCAAAAGATATTCTTCTAAAAATATGAAAAAATTATTTAGTTTTTATTTATTAAAAAATTATGAATTACTTTATTTTTTAATATCAACCTTCAGAACACAAAACATAAGTCTGAGGATCAAACATAAAAACAATAACAACAAATATCTAACAAAAACATAAACAAATTTAAAAAGTTACTTACGTCATAGATCAGTCATAATGGTATATTTTATAAGGATAGTTGCAGATAGAGTTTTGTATTACATCATTCTTTATTATTAACAGTCTAAGTTTAGTCTTAAACTCATTAAATATTGTTAGAGTTTTAAGTTCAGTTTTAGTTATTATATTCCATACCTTTGGTCCTCGAATTGAAATTGAAAACTCAGTTGCCGCAAAATAACTTTTGTGTTGTATATAGGTTAAATATTTAGGTAAGTATTTATTTTGATTTGTTTTGAATAAAGGATTAAAAGTTTTTGAAGTAATGCTTTTAATAATTTTGAACATAATAATTACAAAATAAAAAATATATATTTGGTAGATATTTAGTATATTTAACTTAGTAAGTAATGATTGGGAGGGTGTATAGCGGCTTTATTTGGATATATTTATGATTGGATGTTTTTGCATATTAATGAGTTTTTTTCAATTGTTTTCATTGGCACTGCACCAAGCAGTATTAACATAACTAATATAGGAATGAATAAAGGAGAAATATAAGGTTTTGAACAACTTGAATTTAAAAAAGTTTTGCCCGATGAAGTTGCCCAATGCTTCTTGATAATTTACCACCAATATATTTTGTATGACCTCTGTTACATTTTCGTCGAGGAGTTTGTCTAGGAATTTAATAATACTTCTCTTTTAAAAAAAATTGTAAACCAATTAGCAAAAAGAAAACAATTACAGCAAAATTAAATAAATCCATTTATTTGTCTTTTAAACAGTAATACTACGATTTTGATTTTTCCAACTAACATAGTTAATTGGAAACATAGCGTTAAAAGAATATATAACTTTGCAGTAAAATATTCTTTTTACGCTGACAAAGACCTAGGTCAGTAATAAGAGAGTGGGCTTAGTAACAGGAGGTTTGAGAAAACAGTAAAATTTGTTATTAAACTTTAATGATTTATTTATTTTAAAGTTGTTGTTGTTTATACAGGGCCGACGACACGGGTTTCAAAGTAATGGGGCACAATCGTCAAATTCTAAAAAAAAATCTTCTACATCTCGAATTTTCTAAATAAAAAAAAATCTTTTAGAAAAAAGTGTTGAGAGGGAAAGAGACGCGCCCCCGGTCCCTCTCCCTTCCTAATGTTGTCGCACCTGATTATATTGATAAAATATATGTTTTTTAAGTTATTTATGTTTTATAATTAATTTTATCTTAGTATTACTAATATTTTTAAAATTACTAGTAAACAAATTAATTTTTAATTCCAACTTTAGAGGTTGAAATTAACATTAAAAAAATAGACACACTCGTTTTTATATATTATATAAATAATAATAACAAAATTAATATATTAAAATATATTACTATTAAATTAGTAAATTATTAGTATAAATAATTTTGGACATAAAAAGAGTATAAAAAATATAAATTTCTTTACTATAAAAAATAAGAGAAAGAACCTTAAAATTTCTCAATCAAAATTTCTCATTTATTAATATACTATTTTGTTTTATAAGAATTTATATTAATTAATAAATAATGTGTATAAAAATATATAAAAAAGCGTATAAAAATTTGTGTTAAATTCTCTTAAAATAACAAAAGGGAGATGAAACCCTATTATTCCAAAGTCACGATTTAACAATTAATACTATAATTATGTATAAGTATGAGATGTAATAGTAAATAAATGTAATAGTAGCTAAATCCAATAAATATTTCCCATTCATTTCCAAAACAAATGATTTTGTTTAAAAGAAAATTTAAAACGGAGATTGAAGATGCGGATGGTATTTCAGATAATCTCAAATTTTTAACAATCATATTTTTTGCAATAAAGCTTGAAAAAAAAAATATACATGAAAAAATAAAATCTTATTCTAAAATGTGCTGAAAGATATTACTCTAATTGTCATGTTGTCACAATTAATTCAGTTAATTTAGTTATTGTTGCTTTAAAGCAACAATAACTAAATTTACTGATTTAATTGCAACATTTAAGCTATTTTCGACATTACCCGTTAGCGTGACAATTGGAGTAATATCTTTTAGCACATTTTAGAAAAAGGTTTTGTTTTTTCATGTATATTTTTTTTTCGTCAAGGGAGGGCAGGAAAGCATAGGGGAATTAATTAAGAAGCCTAGATTAAAATTATGTAAGGGCTGGAGCATTTCTTGTTGCTATACTACTGTTTAAATGTCCCATTATTGAAAGTATTTAAATATTATATATATATATATATAAATATTAGTTTTTGAACTGCCATTTACATTCCAAAATTTTATTTTACTAGTGAACATGAACTGGATAGTCGTGTTTTACATTTTCAACTGGTTTATTGATGGAGCTTTTTGTGCAGAAGAACCATTAAATTCTTTAAATGAACTTAAAGAATTATCGCAAACTGTTATTAAATCTGAGAAGGTAGTTTTTTGTATACTTTGTTTAACTTTTGTCTTCTTTAGTATAACTCATATTGCAAAAAAAATATTAAATCAAAATATGGTATTAGTATTTACTTTAATTTTAACATAAATAATTTTTTTTTTTCGTTTATTTACATTTAGTTTTAAAATAGTTTAAAGAACATTTAAACATCAAAACATTTTAGATATAATTTAAAAATAATTTTTTTAAATAAAATAAAATATAAAACATAAACAAATAATGAGTTCTTTAAATTTATAAAAAACTCATGGTTTCAAATAAATCCTTTTTTGAAATTTAAAACATAGTTAATCAAGAATTTGTTAAATTCACTAAAAATCAAAATAAGGAATGTTGGTTAAACACATAGTTTAAGTGTTAGTGTCCCTTAAAAAATTTAACTTTAAAGTTTTAAAATTTTAAAATTTTAAGCATAAGTTAAGTTTAAGCCTCTCTATTATTTACAGTATATGCGAGTGTCCAATTTCAATATTCTCGTAGCGTCTACGTTAAATTTTCTAGCTTAATTTCAATATTCTCGTAGCGTCTATGTTAAATTTTCTAGCTTAAGGCTTTTTAAGTTATAGAGGTTACAATTTTTTAATCAAAGCGTTGCAATTCTCAATTAAATAGGGTGGAATGCAAGAAGCGAACTCGAGTGAAGTTCTACCTAAACTTTGAAGTCTGACTTTGTCAAGTTAGACTTCAAAAAAAAGTTTGAGCAGATGCGCCGACGAAACTTGAAAATTTCAAGACCGCAAAGACTTGAAAAAGCAGAATTTGAAAAATTTAAAAGACGTTAGTTTAAATGCGAAATCGAAAAAAAAGTAAAGAATAGCGGCAGAGTATTTGTGAAGTGAAAACCTTTTTGATTGTGAAGTGAAAACCTCTTTGATTGTGAAGTGAAAACCTCTTTGATTGTGAAATGAAATCCTCTTTGATAAAGCAAATTAATTATATATATTTTGAAATAATATTTCTGATTTTTATACTTTGAAATAATAACTTACAAAAATACATTAAATGGTTTTACAAAAATAAAAACTTTTTATTTTTACTAAAACTTCGTGATATAACAAAAAACTGAATTTAATTATTTATTAATAATTAAAATTGCGTTACCTTTTATTTAGTCTAGGGCTCTAACTACGACGTAACAGCTGTTTAACATTCAAATGGCATATATTTTGTGCGGTTATCAGTAAAGCATATATGTCAGAGGTAGAGAACAAAATCAGTAGTCAGAAAATAGTTAACACGAGTTAGATATCATCTAATAAGACAAAACCTTTTTGTCATAACGATCAACAAGAAGAACGATAGGATCAAAATCGGCGTAGATCAGAGTCGGATCAATTGTATGAAACAGCGAATCTCGTAATAAGTTTAATAATTTCAAAATAAAAGTTCCGTTAGTATTTTTATGGACATAGTTTTTTTGTAGTTGGCGGATATAACTTCAAAAAATAAAATAAACCAAAAAACAGCCAGAGATTGAAAATGAGTAATAATAAAACTATTGTTGACATGGCCATAAATGGCACCACGCCAAAAAGTTGAAACTTGGCAGTGGCTTAAAAAAATCAGTTCGAATTTTTCAATTGATCAAGGCTTTCAAAGGGCAAATTTCACAGAATTTAGTAAGGTCAATGAGAAAAAGCCTAGAACATTTAAAGTATTCATACAACATCAGGCTTTAGCTATGATATTTGCCCTGGTTTCATCTGATGGTTTCAAAATGCCTCTGGTTTTCATTAAAACTGGTCAGAATGTAGACACCAAAAAGAACATTCGAATCCAGGAGAACCATGTCAAGCCTTGGATCAATGCCCACTACTCTCCAGACAACAATATGGTGTTCAAGCAAGATAGAGCACCATCATATACGTCCCATGAAACCCAGAGTTGGCACCGAGAGATTCTGTCAAAACACTGGTCAAAAGTGTTATGGCTTTCCATAATGTATCTGAATTTCCAGACTTGTCATCTCTTGACTATTTGGTTTTGGTTTATGAAGAGTCATGGACTTGTCAACGTCTTTACATCAATTTTTCCTGAAGAATGCTATCAGGAAAGAATGGTGTTTGGTGGACATTTACCCAAAAATGTAGTGAATGTCTTTCCGAATACCCTTTAATAAATAACTTTTTTTTAGCTTTAAATTTTCAAAATGCATTGATTTTGGTCAAAAAACCAACTTTTAAGGAAATTTTCTGGTCCCTAATAACGTACTAATAACCTCCTAATATGGTACAGATAACTTCCTTACATTTTTCATTCTTGTTCTTTGGGATCGTCCATAAATTACGTCACGCATTTTTTGACAGATTTTGACCTCCCCCCTCCCCCTCGTCACAAAATCGTAACACTTAAGAAGCAAGTTTTGTATGAGTCGTCACAAAACTACCAAACCCACCCTCCCCCTTATAGCGTGACGTAATTTATGGACGACCCTTTTACATAAAGCATTTTACAGATTCAATATTATTATATACCAAATGACTAAATGTGTCACTTAAGTTCATATTTAAAGTAAGGTCATCCGAAGTTATCAGAAAATTTGAGGTACCAGAAAAGTCAAAAAAATTACAAAAGCAGTATGACATTAAAATGAAAATTTATAGACAATGTTAATATTTATAAACAACATACACAGATTTCAATAAACACAATATTAAGGATTGTTTTATTAGTGCATTTCTATGTTTTTGAATGTTATTTTTATTTCACAAGGTATTACTTTTATTTCCAGATTGAATTTTTTATTTACTTATCAATAAAAAAATTTCTTTGTTGATACTTTTTGATTACTAATGGTTTTAATCATTGATAATTTAAATATTTATAAAAAGAATTGAGTCACTACTTTATTTTTGTTTCTCCTACATTACATTTATTTTTTCTTTCTTTATTTTTGTTTCATTACATTTCGGAGATGCAAAGAACAATTTTCCTCATTAAAATTTTACTTTTCATTTTGTACTCAAAGATCATTTTGTAGAAAGAAAATGTTGCGAGACAAAGATACAATAAAGTCTATAAAAATATTTTGTTCTATTTGGAAAGGAATATTCTAACTAATCTTATTTTAAAATTCCTAAATAAAAGTCCACTGCCACATTTGTGCTGAAAACATGAGACACTGTCATAACATATGCTTATAACATGAACGTGCTGATGAGCTTCTAAAATCTGTTTACAGACTGAAAAAATTTTTAAACACATCTAGCCTATTGAATACAAGCAGAAAAAATTTACTCTGAAGGACCTTTGATTTAATGGCAGTGCAAAAATTAAAAAAAATCTTTTCTGTTTTGATGCAATTCTGTATTTCCTCCATCAGTACTTGTTATATATGTTCCAATATATTCAGAAATTTTCAAAGTTAAAAAATTTTTAAATTTGTTTATATCATTTTAGAATATAATATTTAACTTATTAAAGCTCATTCGAGCGCGAATGACACGGTACTTTTTGCAGTCATTGCAACCGAGGTAATAGCGAAAAAGAGTCGCTGTACTATTTTTATAAGAAAATATGAACGAAAGTCTATGCTAACAACTAACTTACATAAACTTCAAGATATGTAATATTAAAACTTAACATTTCTTTAAATTTGATTATGCGGCAGTGGCACAGAGGTTAGAGCGCATGCTTTATAAGCAGGAGATCTGGGTTCGAAACGAGTTCTAAACTTATTTTTGCGTCGCGGTAAGAAAGAAGGCATGCAAAAACATATATCAAAATTTATAGTTTTACTTTCTCTTGAAAATTGCATTGCCACAACATTTTCTTAAACTTGATCTGTAGCATTTGTTTCCGTTATTTAAAGTCTTTTTTTCATATATATAGTTTTAAAATTTTGATTGGACTATATGCTTGCGTAGCCAAGAAGTTAGCTCACAGAGTTTTTATGTAAAAAGGCGTTATTTGAATTCTACCACTGATGACTTTTTTTTATTTATTCTTTTTCGATCTTTTAAGAATAGGAAACAAAACACTAAGTTTTGCAGATATTATATACAGGGCCGCCCAGAGGAAGAGGCCAATGGGTATATTTTATCTAGGCACACGGACAAAAGATGCACATGCTACCCTTAGTAAAAGATTTTATAAGAATATTTAATAATCATAAAAAGCACTATTCTTTGGTGAAATTTAAAACAGAATCTAAAAGACTCTTATAATAAATAGAATTTATCATAACAGTCTTTAAATATTTATTATTCTAAATTTAATTCAAAACAGAAAAAAAAAACGTTGTTATTATCGCTAAATGAGCATATCTTATTAAACAATTATATAGAAAATGTGTAAGCATTAATATATATTCATGTTTATATTACTTTTATTTTAAATCTCTAAAAAATACTATAGTTTCACGTTCTTTTAAAGACATTTATAGCATTTTTCAAAAATTATATTTATTTTATAACGGATTATGTATATATTTGCTTTTATATAAACGCATACAATATGTAAACGCGGCTCGGTGATAAGGCAGTTAATTTCTTTCTTCTTACTCGGGCCTAAATTTATATATTTAGTATGTATTTATTGTAAATTTGTTAAACGGCAAACTTTATATGAGGCAAATTATTAAACGGGAAAAAAAAGGAAGATTAAAAAAAGTTTAGAAAAAAAGAGTTTTTTTTTGATAAGGTATTTTGTAAGATTTTTAGAATTTTATAACATGAAATGAATTTGAAATCTAGGTTAAGTTAAACGGAAGTTTCACAATTTCTAAATGGTCAATGGAATTTAAATGTAGTTAAAATTTGAATTACATAACACTTTTCCGAAAATAAAGCTTTTTTTAACTTAACTGATTTAGGCGGTGACGTGGTGAGGATCGAACTCGGAACCACTCGTTTATAAAGCGAGCGCTCTACCACTACACCACTACCGCATTATATATTACATAAATCAGTTAAGTTACTCTTATTCATCACTTTTCAAACTTTTCTTTCTCAATACATTCGTTCCAATTAATTTAA